AGGGACCAGTTGCTAGAGAAGGATATCATGTTTGGTAAGGTGGAGGGTCAGAGAAAAAGAGGAAGACTCCCAACGAGATGCAAATTGGCAGCATCAATGGGCTCAAGCGTGGCAACAATTGTGAAGTTGGCCCAGGACTGGAGAGTGTTTTGTTCTGTTGTACATAAGGTCGCTATGAGTCAGTACCAACTTGATGGCACACAACAACAACAACAACAACAACAATTTTTTTTAGTTATTTACCAGCCACTTCTTCATGGGGGCTTCCTGAGGGAGACTGGCTAGCTGACTTTGAAAAGTTAGCTCGGAATAAGCAGTAAACTGAAAAAAAAAAAGAGAGAGAGAGAGAGAGTTTGGTCTGATGTTTGGCAGAAGCCTCTCCTTATGCCATGAAACCTAGTTCTTTTGAGCTTTCTTCACAATAGCAAATTGTTATTGAGGTTGTTGTGTGCCATCGAGGTGGTTCCAACTCACAGCAATCTTGCGTAGAGTTTCTGAGAAACGGCTGGTAGGTTTGAACTGTGGACCTTGTGATTAGTAGTCCTATGCTTATCCTAAATGGCTACACCAGGACTCTCACTAATAGCAAATTGTTGTTGTTAAGTGCCGTCGAGTTGGTTCAGATCCATAGTAACCTTGTATAGGGTTTCCTAGGAGTGGCTGGTGAGCTTGAACCACTGACCTTGTATTTCAAACCAACTTTGCAGTCCAGCACATAAATTTACCACACCACCGCACCAGGACTCCAAATAGCAAATTAGATTCCCATTTAACATTTTCTACACAACTTGTTCTATGACCTTGGTTACATTTTTCTTAATGTGTTAACATTTTCAGTATTTCCATTTGTTTGTTCTGTTCCCATTCATCTATCCTTCCTGCTCCTTCTTTGCTTCCCAGTTTTGTTTTAAGGTAAATGTTCACTGGTCTCATGTAGTTGATTTTTTAAGAGCCCACAGTAGTCACAGGTGACCTTGTTTATCTTATAATCGAATCTAAAATTTGGATGAAAGTAACAAAACTACTAGGTGTGGCTTTAGTTCCGAGTTCAAAGGGTAATTTAGAGCAGTACTCTTGTGGCATTATCTGATCTCTACCAGTCCAGTAAGTTTGGCCTTCTTTAGGAAATTGAATTTTGTTTTACATTTTTCTACCTTTCTATTTGGGACTTTGTCTTGCGTCCCTGATCAAATCCATCAGGTGCTCCTTGGAAACTCTATACAGCATCATTGTGAGTTGGAATTCACTCAAGGACATGTAAATACATATGAATATATATGCATATACATAAGTATGTGCCTGTATGAACTACAGCGCTAGTTTAATACCATCCAGTTCTTTTAGTCTTCAGCTAGATGAAGCACGGTTCATATGGGATTTTAGTCCTGTGGACTACAGTTAACCTGTGAACATAGGTTTGAGTTGTGTTGGCTCACTTCCATGGGGATTGCTATGAGCTCAAGTGTTAAGATTATCCACTAAGAACTGCTAGTGATTCGCTCTGCAGGGAATTTTAAGTGGATACTTCAAACCCCTTGCTATTCAAGGGTCAACTGTAGTTTCTCATTGAGTCTGGTTTTCTTCATTCTCTTGTTGCAGAGAGTAGAAAGCAATAGTTCTTAGATGGCTGCTCCTAAGCTTTTAAGATCCCAAACCTACTCATCAAATTAGGCTTTAGAGCATTATCGTTTTGAATGATGTTATACCAATTGACTGAGTCATTCCACAAGACTGAAGTCCCAAGCATTCAACCACACCCAGTAAACTAGTCTTTGAAGTGTTTGGTTGTGTCTGGGTAGTACCCTGGTGTGGTGTTTAGGAAAAGCATTGAACTGCAACCCACAAACCACCAGCTACTCCTTGGAAACCCACTACAGGGTCAGAATTGATTAGATGGAACTTAACAAAAATAACCCCTAACTGCATACCCTATGTGGTATATTTTTGTTGCTAGGTGCCCTTGAATTATGCACAATAGAATGAAACACTACCAAGACCCGCAATAATCTGACAATTTTCTATTTTTGAGTTCATTGCTGCTGCCACTGTGCCAATCCATCTAGTTGGGGGTGTTTTCCTCTTTTTCTCTGACCTTCCACTCTACCAAACATAATATCCTTCTCCAGGGACTGGTTCCTCCTGGCAATATGTCCAAAGTATAAGAGATGAAGTCTGGCCATCCTGGCTTCCAAGGAGGATTCTGGCTGTACTTCTTCCAATTAGATCTGCTTGTTCTTTAAGCAGTCCATGGTACTTTCAGTATTCTCCAGCACCATAGCTCAAATGCATCAATTCTTACACAATCTGCCTCATTCACAGTCCATCTTTCACATGCATATGAGGTTATTGAAAATACCATGGCTTGGATCAGGCACATCTGAGTTCTCAAACTGACATCTTCGCTCCTGTCCACTTTAAAGAAGTCTTGAGCAGCTGATTTGCCCAGTGCAATACATCATTGATATCTTCATTTCTGCTTTCATGAATGTTGATGGTTGATTCCAGCAAAATTAATGCTTTGACAACCTCAATCTTTTCTCCATTTATCATGATGGATTATCTGAAGAAAAACGTGGCATCAGGATTGGAGGAAGACTCATTGACAAGCTGCAATATGCAGATGATACAACTGTGCTTTCTGAAAGTGAAGAAGAATTAAAACACTTAATGATGAAAATTAAAGATTACAGCCTTCAATGTAAAGAAGACAAAAATCCTCACCATTGGACCAATAAACAACATCCACATAAGTGGAGAAAAGATTGAAGTTGTCAAAGACTTTATTTCTCTCAGATCAACAATCAACACTTTGCTCTTCTTCAACACTTTAAAGAACTTTGTTCAAGAGATTTGTCTAGTGCAATATGTTGTTTAATTTCTTGACTGCTGTTTCCTGGATTAATATTTCATATATTCATGTTCTGATTATTAATCGATGTTTACAGCTGTTTCTCTTCATTTTGAGTTGTGCTCCATCAATAAATGAAGGTCTCAAAGTGTTTATTTGCATCATTGTGGTGGTCAACTCTACTTTTAGGACGGAAGCTCTTCCTCATTAGTATTTTGAGTGCCTTCCAACCTGAGGGGCTCATCTTCTGTCACTATATCTGACAGTATTCTGGTGCTTTTCATTATGTTTCAATATTCAATATTCTGATGCTATATGACAGTGTTCCATTGCTATTCATAAGGTTTTCAGTGACTAAATATTCAGAATTATTCTGTCTCTCCTTCTTCCTAGTTTGTCTTCATCTGGAAAACTCATCTGAAACCTGTCCACCGTGGTTGGCCCTGCTGGTATTTAAAATACCAGTGGCATAGCTTCCAGAATCACAGCAACTCACAAGCCACCACAGTACAACAAACTGATAGGCGAGAGGTTGATGTGATACACACATATATATATATATTTGTTGTTGTTGTTATGTGCTGTGGAGTCGGTTCCGACTCATAGCGACCCTACACAGGGTTTCCGAAGCTGTAAATCTTTACGGAAGCAGACCGCCTCATCTTTCTCCCGCGGAACCGCTGGTAATTTCGAACCGCTGACCTTGCGGCTCGCAGCCCGATTCATAACCACTACGCTACCAGAGCTCCTTATATATATATATATAAACATATATCCGTGGTGGTATAAACAGAGTTCTGAATTAATCTAAAAGGTTGGCAGTTCAAATCCACCAGACGCTCCTTGGAAACCCTATACAGGGTCATTGTGAGTTGGAACCGAGTGGACAGCACATATATAAACATATGTGTCTATACATACATACTTGCAGATACACCCACATACTGAGATATAACTTCCTATACAGTGTTTTGAACCACAAAGTCGTTGGCTCAAGCTCACAAGCCGCTCTTCGGAAATCCTATACAGGTTCGCTATGGGTTGGAATCAACTTGACAGCACTTAACAACAACAATAATATACATATATACAAGGCAGTTTCAAAGAGTTGGTGGAAAAATTTCATTATTTAATTCCACTTTCCCACAAACTTTTGGAGGTCCCCTTGTATATGCATACACAAAGGGACACTTTTTTTTTTTGTTTTTTGTTGAAAAGGCAACTGATAATTTATACTAAAAAAAATCATTTGTTGTTGATTCAAATTTCACGTGACTCAAGCTTGGGTTAGGTTGGTGCTTAATAAAATATTTCTAAGGCAAAGAATTAGCGTTACCAGTTGTTGGGAAAACTACATTCTGTAGCTTCTGCAGTTACAACGCTCTCGAAGAGAGAGCCTGTTCTGCTGTGGGCGAAATTAGCCCCCTGAGCTTCAGTTTGGACCATGGTCTCGAGAACGAGAAGCCTCTCTCAGGCAGGGGTAAGGCTGTGGGTCTGATTCACACAGCTTTTGGTGAGCCAAGGGCTCCGGGCTGCTGCAGCCACAGCTACAGCACAAACCTTCGTGCCAACTAAGAGGTGGACCTTGGTGGTCACTTTCCGAGACCCTGACTCTTTCCAGATGCCTGACGCTCTTTTCCCTCACACCGCTCCCCGCCCAGCGTCGTGGAGATGGCGTAGAGCACTAAATGTTCCAAATTAGCAGCGAGTTTTTAAATCACAGCTCGGATGGTGTGACTTGCCTGGAGGGGCTCACGAGGAAAGGATCGGTTGAAGCTAAGCCTTCCCTCTGCCCCTCCAAATCTAAAATGGGGGAGGACCTATACTTCTCGGGCGAGTTCTTGGTTTTTTTTTTTAATGTCGGCGGAAAGAAAACAGCTTTGCGCTGGTGTGTGTACAAAGTCTAGAAGTGGAAACAGGGACACACCCTCCCTTTAACCCGCCCCCAGCCCGCGCCGCGCCGCGCCGCTTGGGAGGCTGGCAGGCGGCAGGCGGGAGGAGAGAGGCGAGAGGCGGGGGCCGGGCGTTTCCGCGTGAGCCTGGCTGCGCCCACAGCAAACGCCGGGCTCCGAGCCACCTGCAGCCGACAAGCGCCGGGACTTGCCGAGAGGATGTCCCGGTAACTCTGAGCTCACCCCGCACCCTGGGGAGGATGATACTCCTGAGGAGGGGTATCAGGCCGTGGCGTCCGTGGCTGTTGACGACTCCCGGTACAGGGGGCTGTTCGTACACGCGACCGCCGAAGCCGCAGGTAAGAAAAAACCCCACGATTTTGGCTACGGGGGGGTTTCGGAGCGTCCAGGGAAAAGGCAAGAGGAAAAGTTTTGCATCCGGCAACTTTGGCGAGAGTGAAAGTCCTGGCCTGGAGCGGCTGGGAAGCTCTTTGCGGTTTTCTGCCTCCCGGGGTTGGGCGAGGGAGAGGACCGGGCAGGTGGTCCCGGAGTTCAGGCCCAAGTCACGGACCCCGGGCTGAGGGCCGAGCGGGGACCGCGGGGCTGCGGCTGGGGAGGCAGCAAAGTAACCCTGGGAGGCATTTTCTCAGCATCCAAACCGCCCTCGGAAGTAAGTGCCCAGAGCGTGGTGGCGGTGGGCGCGTGTCCCCTCGGTCGTCGGTGCGAAAGAAAACGTGGGAAGCGAGTAGCTGCGAGGGAGCCGAGTATGGGTTGTTGTAGGAGAGGGAGATGTCCATCTGAAGCCCGCGAGCACCGCCCTTCTAAAGAGGGAAGAAAAACTCGTGTTGTGTTCAGAGACCCGAGAACCCAGTGAATCATGAGTGTGTGCTGGTGAGTAACAGTTGGCCTGACTCAGTTGTATTGTAGTCTGTGTAGAACCATTGCTTGGAGGAGAGGTGGAGGAGGAGAATTGATGTGGACCAAAAGACACGGAGAAGGAAGAAAGAGCTGAGTGTAACTAGGATCCTGATGTTCCCTGACAGGAGCACTACCTCTGAGTTTAATGAGGACAGACAGCCTTTTAAAAAGAGCCTTCTGGGGGGGAGGGGGGGCGTGTGGTAGGGTGGGGAGTTGTTTCTCAGTTAGTTGGTTTGCTTGTGTCCCTCCCTCTCCCTCAACTATGACATCAGTTTTAAGATTGTTAGAGAAAAATTATTATCATTTCTGTTTTAACTGTGCCATTGCAAAGTTAGCAGTTATCTTGTTACTTTCACTTCCTGTTGTTGGTTTTTTTTACCCCCACTACAACTATCTCAGGGCTTCCAAGTTTGAATTGATGCAGGGAATATTTAATTGCATTTTAAAAATGCCCTCCCCAAATGTTTGAAAGAGAATGAGGAAGACCATTTTGTTGTTTGTTGTTTTTATGTGCCGTTGAGTCGTCTCCGATCCATAGCGACCCTTTATAGGGTTTCCGAGGACTGGCTGGTGAGCTTTAACCATCGACCTAACTGTTCAAACCCACTTTGCAGTCCAGCGCATTAACCCACAGCACCACACCAGGACTCCTTAAAATATGAAAGGGTAGACTTGACAAAGTGACTGGAGAGATGGCTTAAAAGTCTTGACTGTCCCAGTTAATTAATGTCAATATGTTAAACTTTAGAAGGAAACATGCATCCATTGTCTTATTTGTCAAAAATCAAAGTAATGTCTGTCTGGTAAAAGACTTCTCCACCTACCAAAAGAATAAAAGCAAGCTTGTAAATTCACTTCTTTATGACTTTGAAATCTTACCGTAATAAACTGATAGAAATGTTTTGGCCCTTTAGTCATTTTAACTTGGTTTACTAAACCATTTTCTGTAAATAATAATAAAGTAGGGCATTTTAAATTCTAAGTTCCCACTGTTTGGTGGCTGCCCTACTTGATATGAAAAGGCCGGTGCTAGACAAGTATTACTTCTATATAGTTTTGGCTCATTCACATCCCTAGGCTCCCATGAATTCAGCTGGGGGGAAAAAATCATTGATGTTTGAAGCCTGATGATAATGCATAAAAACCTAGTTTGCAAGGACTTGTCATAAGTAGTATTGCCAGCAAGTTTTTCCATGTTATATTTGACCTTTTCTGAAATTATGATTTTGAAAGATACGGAGTACCTGGGTGGCACAAACAACTAAGCTCTTGGAAGCTAACCTAAAGGTTTGTGGTTTGAGTCCACTAGAGGTGCCTCAGAAAAAGACCTGTCTACTTACTTCTGTGACATTTTCCACTTAAAGTGGTAGTTTTCACTTAAACCCAAACGGCTACCACTCGTCTGTTAGTTTGTCTTACTATCCTAGCTTGTGAGTTGCTATGATTCTGAAAGCTATGCCACCAGCATTTTAAATACCAGCAGGGTCACCCATGGTGGACAGGTTTCAGATGAGCTTCCAGACAAAGACAGACTAGGAAGAAAGAGTGA